TAGTTCTCAAACTTTGTAGATTCAAGGTGTCCCTCCATTTTTTAATTTGAGAACCACTGTTGGGCTGCCTCATCTTTAACTGGGTGGTTCTCAGTTGGGGTGAAGTTGATGTGATGGCAGCCAGGTAGACAGTGGCTGCAGGAGGAGCAGGCAGGAGCACCCGTTCTTACTGCAGAGCTTCCTGGTCTGGTCCCCCCATGAGCTCTTCCTGGAAATGGAGGCATGCGGGATGAGTCCACCTCTTTTGCACACCTGTTTCTGGGTGATACCATGCAAAGCCGGACCAGGAAGTCTGCGGCAGGACGGGTACTCTTGCCTGCTTAGCCGCCCCTGAAAGGGTCTTGCAGCACCCTGCAAGACACCCCTGATGTAGACTGTTAGGGGGCTTTATACCTAATTTAGTTCCTGTGCATTTTTATCCCTGTGTATTTTTATACCTAATTCAAGAGATTTAGCAAATCTTGTGAATTTTCAAGATCAGAATGCCATTTACTGGTTGCCTGTAAACTTGAGCAGAACAAAGCTGACATCGTTATTATGTTGCAAGTAGATTTTCAGAAATGTAAAAAAAATTGCCCATTAGAAGGAAATAAAACTTTTTTGGCTGCAGAATACTGTTAAGAAACCAGGTGTCTGATAAAGAACTGAAGAGGAATCTTTATGAAGGCTGAGGAGCAGCGCAGTAAACCTGTTTGTAATCTTAATTGATCCTAAATTCATACATAATGGCTTTATTGCTTTGAGATCTTTAATCTAAGCGAAACGTGTATTTGATATGTTGCTGCTGGGTAGAAAGTTCATTCTGGAGCTTGCTTCCCTCCTCCCTTTCTTGCTGCATAGCAATGATACTCTAATACTGTTGTGGCGAGACCATTTTAAGTGTCCCATGGGCAATCGCAGCATTGCCAAACCCCAGCATTCACAAATTATGAGCCAAGCCCCCCAACATCGTGGGATCAGCTTAGGAAAAAGCAAGATGAAATTTAATAATGTATAATTTTGGGTTCTTTTAGTTTCTTTCTGGTGTTTTTTTTTTTTTTTTTTGGGTTTGGGGC